GTTTACTGCACAGGAAACTGGTATCATTTGTCACTTATAAGGTGGAAGATATTTTTGTACAGGTTCTTTTTTTTTGTATTGCATATAAACAAGAACCATGAAATAAAGTTAAACTCTTACTTTTAGAAGGTGATTCTGTATTTGTTTTAGAAATAGCCTGTAGTGTAGTATTTATATTGTCTTACTTTGTTTGGTTTATGCATTCTGGAGTTGTTTAGGTGTGTTATTGTGTCTAGGTTTTATGTATTATGGAATGCAATAAAATATTTTTATTAACCTTAACTTTCCTCACCTTCCAGCATAATGAAACTTGCAGGCTTCGAGAGTAACATTTGATTTTGAAGAAAGTGAATTTGTATATATTATTACTATTACTATGTTTGATTTTTGCGAATGATATTACAGTTTATATGTGCTGTACTCTATTCCCTAATGTGTGGGCTAATGGCATGGCTGATAACAACTGCCCTATGTACCTTATAGATTTATTGCTTATATGCATGGCAATGCTTATGTGGTCCTGCAGTGTTCCATGCATGTTTATGTTAAGTTTAACCATCCCGACACCCTTTGGTCTGCTTTACGCCCAACAGCTCCAGGTTATGGAAGAAATCGTCTTCCTCCAGAGAAACGACAAGACGAATCCAAACGTCACACTCTTGCAGGTTCCGTCGTGAGAACACCCACCTCAGAGGACAACAAAGTGAAATCTGCCGTGACACCGGACAGGAGTAGTAAAGAGTTAAGAGACATAGAAACTGACCCTGATAAGAAACATGAAAGTAGGGTAAGTGAAAAATTGACCCTGATAGTAAACATGAAACTAGGACAAGTTCACACACACACACACAACCTCGGCTCTTCTGTATGCCTCTGTTTTACCAAAATTATAAAGTAAATGTCATTTAACCTATGTTTGCTATGTGTGTCTTAATCCTTTATTTTTCTATACAAGGATAATATTTTACACCCTGTGATATTGTTAAAATCACACACACACTTTTAGGTATGCCAAGTGCCATATTTTTGTAATACATGTGTTTACATATCCTTATTGTGTGAGTTATTGAAAGCTTCAGTATAGTGGCAAGAAAATTCCATGCTAGAACTCTGACCTATGGATGTAAATATTATATACAGTTTCCGAACCTGTAATTTTTTATCTTTCTGTTTTCTTATCAAATAATCCCTGTAGTGTTCAATAAGGTCAAAAACCTTAGAAACTCACAAACTTAGAGTTAGACTTGACAGGATCATAGTTACAAACGGCGTGCCTCAGGGCTCTGAGCTGAGTCCTCTGTTGTTTATATTAATGATATTGACTCTGGACTGACTAACAAAATACTGAAGTTTGCAGATGATATTAAGATGTATGGGGTGGCTAACTGTATCAAAGATGCTGAAGACTTACAAGGAGATTTAGATCATTTGATGCATTGGACCAATACGTGGCAGATGATGTTTAACTATCCAAAATGTAAGGTGATGCACGTAGGTTTTCACAATTCAGTTACTGTTACAATTTAAATGGGAATACATTAAATACTGTGGTTGAAGAAAAATATCTTGGTGTTGTGATTGAAAAATCATTTAAATCATCTAAACAGTGTATTGTAGCTAGCAATAAGGCTAATATGATTTTAGGTAGCGTCTATAGAAATATTGAATACAAAACAAGGGATATTATTGTTTCACTGTACAGATCACTTGTAAGGCTTCATTTAGAGTACTGTGTACAGTTTTGGACTCCCTTTCTCAAGAAGGACATTGAATTTTTGGACAAGGCTCAGAGAATAGCCCCTAGGATGATATCTGGGATGGTGGGATTGTCCTATGAGGAGAGACTAAAATCTCTAATCTTGTTTTCTCTGGAGAGAAGAAGGGTCAGAGGGGATTTGATTGAGTTGTTTAAGATTATTAAGGATATTCATAATATAGATCCATCAAACTTTTTTGTGTTTAGCAGTGAAAACTACAGGACAAGGGGTCATAAATTCAAATTTTGGCAGCGTAGGAGTCGTCTGCAGTTTAGACAGTAATACATTTCAAAGAGGGTGGTTGGCTTTTGGAATGAGCTGCCTTCAAGGGTGGTGGAGGCAGAAAATTTAAAAGATTTAAAAGATTGGATGAATACACGAGTAGTAAGGGGTGGTTATAGTTGGTAGCTGGAAGGGACATCCTTGATGGGCTAATAAGTTCCTTTTTGTCCATTTAAAATTTAATGAATTTATGAATTACAAACACAGAACCAAATACATCCATCAAAACTACTTTACTGTGTAATGTGAAGTTTCTTCAGTGTACACCCTTTGCACACACACACACACACACACACACACAGATTCACCTGTGAATATTGGCAGATGCCTTGCATTTTGTATTTCTTACTATTTAGCTGTTCTGAGATATATTGGGATTGATAACTATTGGTACCTGATATTTTTGTGTTTCAGATATATCTGTATATCAATGATCATGCTTTTCTTAATGTAATATAAAGACTTACAATCAATTATAATTAATTGATTACACCAAAAGTTTTTGACAAACCTGTATTAAAGTATATTAAAATGCTCAAATGATCAACATTGTTTAATACACAATTACAATCTTTACTCTAAGACCGATCAGTGGTCTTAAAAGGCACCCTAAATGTATCGACATTGACTCGCATCATCCTCGGAAGTGTTAATTTCAGTTTGCACCTGTCCTTGACAAAATTCCCATTGGTAGATTCATAATATTAAAAGGTTAAAATTCAAGGAACTTGTGTAAATATTTAAAATATATTAAAGTACTCAAAAGGATCAAATGAGCAGATTGCTTTCTCACTCCCTTCTGCATTATGCAACATTTAAGGATAAGGATGATCTTGTAACGGCATTTACAGATTCTGAAACATCTTAAATGCTACCATTGCTTGAAAAAAAACTGTCAATTTCTTAGTCAGATAGACATTATTCATTTTGGTTTAAAATGCATTAATAGGAATTTAACTCTTTTTTTTTTTTTGTAATTGGTATTAATTGCTAACTAATTTATATCTTTTGTTTTGGCTGCTAATTCTACCACCTACAATACTACCAACAACAAAGTTGGCCCAGCCATGGGTTCACCCTTATCATCAGTACTGGGTAACCTTTTTATGGAACATTTAGAAAATAATGCTCTCAAGTCAACTGCTATGAGATCCAGGATTTGGCTGAGATGTGTTGATGATATATTTGTATTATGACTGCACACTATGGATAAGATTATAGAGTTTATGAACCATCTGAACAAACAAAATCCAGCAATACAATTCATAATGGAAATAGAAGAAGATAAATTTCATGATGGTTACCATGACATTTAAATCATATACCACATGAGTTTATAGGAAACCCCAGATACTGATAAGTACCTTGATTAAAACCACCCCAACAGTATTAAGAAGGGCATCATAGACTGTCTATCATTTACAGAATGAACAAGATTTGTAATTCAACCCTACTAAACTGAAGATACTGTGGAACACTTGTTACAGAAGGTAAACATCGAGAATAGGCAGGGAGAAAATTACAGACGCAGACATAATCCCTTATGTTAAAGGTTCCTCAGAAAACATCCATAAGCTACATAACCAGCATAAAGTCAGAATAGTATTCAAAAGCCACAAAAATAAAAGGATTCCAGTATACCAAACCATCTTTAGGCCCAGTGGAAAGTAAAAATGTCATTTACAACATTTATTGTGAATGTAGACTCAAGTATGATGAAGAAACAAAAAGACCAACAAAAGTAAGGATTTAGGGGAACACTATACATACAAGACTCTGTGATACCAATTTATAGCCAGTAGCCCATCATGACAGAGAAGAAGGCCAAACGTTAAAAAGGCCATAATACCAGAAAGACAAAAGTCGTCATCCATGTAACTGATAACAGTCAACTTTAAGTAGAAGTCAGCACACTATACATACAAGACTCTGTGATACCAATTTATAACCAGTAGCCCATCATGACAGAGAAGAAGGCCAAATGTTAAAAAGGCCATAATACCAGAAAGACATATATATATATATGTGTGTGTGTGTGTGTGTGTGTGTTTGTGTATGCTATTTAAGCTCTATCGTACATATGTTGCCATTATTTTGTAACTGGAGCATGTTTTAATATGTTACTTTTGTATTTACTGGATTTCTTTCCTGATTAAATTAGTGATTATTCAGTCATTTATGATAAAGTATTTATTGTTTTGTGTAGAAACCTATTGGAGGTGTTGCAGTATTGCCTCCAGTTGACCTGAAAAAGATGGAACAGCGAAGAAGCCGACACGAGGCTGAAGCTGTTGAAGATGAAATGACACAAAAAGATGTAAAATTGACAAAAGAAGGTCGACCTGAGAGAGATTATACTGATGTTAGTATTAAAATGCTGTTATCCAATTGAAGGTTAAGTGGAACAATATTAAGTATATTTACGGTAAGGTTGTGGCAGTGGAACAATATTAAGTATATTTATGGTAAGGTTGTGGCAGTGGAACAATATTAAGTATATTTATGGTAAGGTTGTGGCAGTGGAACAATATTAAGTATATTTACGGTAAGGTTGTGGCAATGGAATAATATTAAGTATATTTACCGTAAGGTTGTGGCAGTGGAATAATATTAAGTATATTTACGGTAAGGTTGTGGCAGTGGAACAGTATTAAGTATTTACGGTAAGGTTGTGACAATCAAATACCACTCATTGTCATGATTAGTAGCCTTTACAATCACCTTATTTTAATTATTAATACCTTACTTTTTTTTTAACTAGATACTAATTAATAATTAGTATTATATTTTACTTTTTACTTTGTTAATATGCTTCTGTATTCAAGGAAGGACTGATTGTGTGTGAGGGGGGGGGGATTTGGTATTGATCTTCTTGTAACATATGTTAGTGAGAGGATGGATAGCACACCAGGTTTCTCATAACGAGACCCAAAATGGAATCTCAGTCATTAAAAAACAGAGAGTCCTTTCCAGGACTTCCCTGAAGGTGGCAGTAGATTTATTTAGGCCACTAACCATGACAACAAGGAATAAAGTTGTGAAATTACTTGAAATGGGTTGTGTATTTCTAAAATATTGTTTACATGAATTTCTTTAGTTATTACTTTTGTACTACAGAATTGATAGTGTTACTTTGCATGTAGGTGATTCTTAAATATATTTTTCAATTATTTTGTGTAAAATTTTAAGTATTACCCAAGAATTATTTAAAGGCATTGATGAAAATTGCTGAACAGAAAAGGTCACTGTATTGATTGTCATCTGGGGACTTTTTTTTCTTAACAAATGTGCATTTCTGGCACAAAATTGAGAACACATATCACATTTGTAAATATTATATTGGACTGTTTTTCAAACAGGATGTTGTTTAGGAAAACAAAGTTTCATAGTGAAGTCACAAATTTTAAAAATAATTAAAACATTTTATTCACAAATGATATTTAAATCACCTTTCAAGATACAAAATGTATTCAGATAAAGAAACCAATTACCTACCTCTGTGCGTTCCAGGATCGAATATAAATACACACACAGTGACTGTAATGCCACTTGCATTAGCAAAACTATAAACCAGTTAAACCTCCAAGCCTGTGAACATATGGGAGTATCAAGCAGAACTGGTAAAAAACTATCAAATGTACCAGACTCCACAATTTGAACACACAATGAAAACCACCACCACCCCATCTTGATTACGAATTTCAAACCAATCAACCAATATTTAACATTTAATTAAAGAAAGTTTATCTATTATAAATGAACTTCCAACTTTAAATAATAACACAGCTTCACTAGAGTTAAGTCTATTCTGAATAGCTTGTATAATATTGTTACAATTGTTGCATTATCTTATTCTTTCTTGTTTATTTGGTTGTCTTTTAATTTACTTCATCCTTATATTCTGTATCTTAATTGCTTTTTATAAGATCTTTAATATTTATAAATTTGTGTACCTAAAAATTTTCCCTGTTCAATATAGCTTGCTGAAGATGGAATATGTATATTCCAAAACGTTCAAGAATTAAATGTTTGTTACTGTACAAACACGTGTCAAGTGGTTGTTGTTGTTGTTGCTACCGTCGTTATGCTGTTCATCATTAATGATTCCCGTCGATTGAATCTGTTGCTAGAGAGACTGTTACCATACACTTGTATTCTGATATGGTAATTCGAGAATGCACTTAGCTCTCAGTTGTTTGATCTTTACAAAATGAGAGATCTGTTGGTATAATATGCAGAGCAACGGGTATAGTGATATGTTACAGGTGAAATGAAAGAAATGACATAAAGCTTGAAGTTGAAATTGGAATATTTTGCCCGGTGTAAAAATAAGTATGGCTGATCATCTACAGTGGTGGGACTTATGCACAGAAATTAACACTTAAAATTAAATTTAACATATAACCTCAACTGGATTTAAAACTCAGCTCATCTGGAATTTCACTGAACTATTTATCAAACTTTTGAAAAACTGCTTTACTTATTTAAGCACCCTTCTCTTGAACCTAGAAATGAACAGTCATATTTTTGATCTGGTTATTTCCTGTCAGTAGTAACTTAATGGTATAACAAGCCCAATGTTAATCAGAATTTCCCAAATATCAATTATAAATCACTATAGTTAAGTTATTCTGTCATCATAAAATTTAAAGACTCAAAGTATTTTTGAAGCCTTGAACTCTAATTCCAAGATTTCCATACAGACAGATATTTATTAAAGATTTAACACTTTCTTTTTCCATTACAATACACATCAGAATTTTATATATATACACACACGCATACAGAGGCTATACTTTATTCCACTTTGCTTTCCAGCAATGGCTATGGTCTGTGAATGTCTTTAACTTGCCTTAACAAAAATGTTCTTTTATTCTGCTTACATCTGTTATGAGCTGGTTTACAGTACGTTTCATGAAACTAAGAGTTAGTGTTTTTCTGACTGTGTTTCCGATGCTTGCATTTTTATTTTAACAACCTGTCATATGCAGTTTATATCCCAGCATCTCCCAGAATGAATTATATTTTATCTTTTTTCAGTTTTAAGTTAAAAAGCTTGTTTGAAAAAATATTTAAAATGGGTGTTTGTCTTTTCTAATACAGTAATTTGACTGTACTGTCACAAGTACCAGTTTTTATAAAACAAGAAAAAGTTAACTGTTGAACATCTGATTGAACCATTTTTCACTAATGGAGAGTAAGGCTGGCCAAATTTTAAAACGTTTGTGTATGAAGAAAGATTAAATGAAAGATATATAGTAGCTTTTAATTCTAAGAATAATTTCTATATGTATAGAATACTAACATAAGATGTGCAACCCAGTCTTTTCTACACTTCGGCTGCTTGTCATGACTCGATTTCATTATTTCAACTCCTGAAAATAATATTATTGTGTTGTTTTGCATCCTGGCAGATGCATTAGCTGTAATTAAAGCTTAATATGTTAATTTTGGTTTCAAGAATTTTTTTTCTTTAAAAATGGTAACAAATTGATTAATGTATTTTAATTGTTTATAATTAGCTGTTTGTAAAATGAGAATAATTGGTCATTAAATTTGAATTACTTACCTGAGCTTCTCTAAATTTTAACAATAAGTCTTAGAGGATGTTTGCAAACTAATTAGTAAAGAGATGTTTTGTTTTTGACATTGCCTCTGTTACTTTATCCAGCAAGTAACTGCCCAACATGACCAGGTGGTTAGGGTGCTTGACTCGCAGTCTGAGGGTCGCAAGTTTGAATCCTTGTCCCTCCAAACATGCTCGCCTTTTCAGCCATGGGGCATTATAATGTGCCAGTCAATCCCACTATTCATTGGTGAAAGAGTAGCCCAAGAGTTTGGCAGTGAGTGGTGATGACTAGCTGCCTTCCCTCTGGTATTTTACTGCTAAATTAGTGACTGCTGGTGCAGATAGCCCCCGTGTAGCTACGCAGGAAATTCAATTCAAACAAACAAACCAGCAAGTAAAACAGAATTCTAAAAAAATATTACAAAGTGTTTCTGAATGAAATACTTTATTGAAACCTCATAAAATTATAACTTAATTCTCTGTGTAAATATAAGTTAAAAATTTCTAGTTTTGTGACTTAAGCTAGTAAAGTCATGAATGTGTAGCATTTGTGGTGTGCATCATTATTCAAGACTGCTTATGCAAGCAAAACACACGAGATGTAGGTGCTGTACTGTGCTACTGAAGTAAAGAAGAAATATCCAGTTTTCTTTATTTTATAGTATATTTATTAACATAGTTATATGTTTGTCATTATGATGATTACACGGGTATGTGACCAACATGAAGGCTTAGTGTGAGTTTCGCAAGATAGTTTTTTTACCTGCTACCCTCAGAGGTTTGTCTTTAATATTTTGTACAATAACATTGTTTATATTTTAACTAGTGACTGCTAGTATTTTTAGGATTTTTCATCGGGAGCAACTAACTCCTCACAACTAGTTTCTGACAATGATTTCTATTTCACATGAATTGATTATGTATAGAAATTAAGCCTGGCAGGATGTGAGACTGCTCTTATATTGGTCTAAATTAGCAGATATCTCTTACAAAAATATATTCTGCCATTTACCTTTATGTACTGTACTTTTGTCATTTGATGTCAATTTAATCTCACTAAGGTGTTATTCGTAAGTTTGTACATACAGTTTTTATTTATTCCAAAGTAAGTGTAGATAACTAGAGTAAACCTGGAGAGATATTACAGCACATGTGTGATTGATACCTTTTCTCGGCAACAGTATGAAAGTTTTTTATTAAAAGAGATGGTAAATGAAGACTCTTTATATGTCAAAGTTTTAAAACTGTTTTTGTTGAAAGTATAAAAACTGAATATAAAAGTTAATATTTACAATTGTAAAAACATTTTAGATTTGAGAATCATATCATTGGACTTTCTACAATTGTTATTAATAAACTCATTCGCTTATAAAGATTTTTGTGCTATTTATTATACAAAACATTGTAAATAATTCTTAAATGATCTTCAGATACAAGAGATTTCTTGATGTTATTGGCAAGTTTCAAATGTTCGGTATTTTATTTCAGCTTGATAAAAAGTTAGAGAATTCTCCAGTAGTGTCAGCATCCACTATGACAGCTACTTCCTCTGTTAGTACTCTCACAACAAAACAATCCACTCAACATGACAAAACACCTGAACAGAAGGTAGTCACTTCAAAGACAACTCGCACTACAGTCAGTGAACAGAAAACCATGACCCAACAAGTCTCAAAAAGCACTAGGATTATCTCGGGAACACTAGATGAGTTACAGGTAAGATCTGGATTACCTTGGGAACACTAGATGAGTTACAGGTAAGATCTGGATTACCTTGGGAACACTAGATGAGTTACAGGTAATACCTGGATTATCTTGGGAATACTAGATGAGTTACAGGTAATACCTTGATTACCTTGGGAATACTAGATAAGTTACAGGTAATACCTGGATTATCTTGGGAACACTAGATGAGTTACAGGTAAGACCTGTATTACCTTGGGAACACTAGGTGATTTACAGGTAAGATCTGGATTACCTTGGGAACACTAGATAAGTTAAAGGTAAGACCTGTATTACCTTGGGAACAATAGGTGATTTACGAGTAAGATTTGGATTATCTCGGGAACACTAGATGAGTTACGGGTAAGATCTGGTTTGTCCTGGGAACACTAGGTGAGTTACAGGTAAGATCTGGATTATCCTGGGAACATTAGATGAGTTACAGGTAAGATCTGGATTATCCTGGGAACATTAGATGAGTTATGGTTAAGAATCAGATTATCTTGGGAACACTGGGTTAGTTACAGCAGGACTTACATTATTTTGGAATCATTATATGAATTACAGGTAAGAAATTTATCTTACTTCTCTTGCTGTAATTTTCACAATCAGTTTTAGAGGCTTCATCGAAAACATTTAGAATGCTCCTTAAATCCATCTCCTGCATCCTCAACAAAATCTTGTTAATTAGTGAAGTTTTTCAAGTTCAGTAAAACATTTTTTTTTCAGCAACTTAATAAAAGGAACATATGCCTCCATGAATTACACATTTAGTCATTTTTAAAACTTCACTGATCCTCTCACTGTGGGTGTGTCAAAGTACACATGTCCTGAAAATTTACAGAGTTATAGTAAAAATTTAATTAAACTACTTTATTATCAATATATATCAATAAACTTGGCATCAAAATGTATTTGATAAATTAAATTTAATATTATATAACTTTTAAGTTCTTAATTTTATAAGGAAATATTTAAATAAACCTCAATCTCCCCTAGTTTGAGAATTGTGACATTTGTTCTCTACGTCTTTTTCCTTCTCCAATTTATTTACCACCTCTCACTGAAGTATGGAATTTAATGTAAATTACTCATTATAATATAGATATTACTTAAGGCAAAGTGTAATTTTTAGACCCACTTGCAATGCCCACCTGTCACATCTCTTTCACAATTGCCAATAAATTTCTGTGATGTTTTATATTACATCATTTACAACCAACAGAAAGACAAGGTTTTAATCTATCGAATAACATATAATTTAGAAAACTGATTTTTTGCGTGTGTGTACAAAAGACTTGTAATGTTTATTGAAAGCTTGCCAGATTTCATAAAAATACACCTACCATATTACTGTGAAAGCTGATGGTTACTTTGTGATTACAGGGTGGGTCACATCAGCCAACTACATATGGAAAGAGTTCAAGAAACATTGATTTTCTGATGATACGTCTTCACTACTTTAACCAAGTTCTTCACTAAACGAATATTCTAGCATCTTACTCATATTGTCAATACTATGACAATAATGTACAAATTGTTTTTTAAAAAATGTGTTTTAGTGATTATATTGAAGAACATACCATTTTTGTTAAGTATTAAGTGATAGGTAACACTATTAATTAATTTTTTTTCAGCCTAAATTTTTTTACATGTAACAAAAATATAAAGTTATCATTTCTACGGGAATCTTAAATAATTCCTATTAGTGAGATTTTGTATAATATGAATTTGTTAACAAAGTAACTCAACTGGTACTCTCATTTCTAGATTATCTACGTAAAAATATCTAATAATCTTTGTAACATTAATCTGCTGAAACTTGAATCAATGTAACAGAATACACACTACAGTACATTTACAATCTCCCTAATAGGATGTTATTAATTTCTTAAATCTATATTCATTAGGCCTAACATGATCTAGTGGTTAGCGTATCAGGCGGTAGATCAATGGATACAGGGTTTGATATGTGATACCACTAACCATGCTCCTGACTTTCAGCTGTGGATGCATTATAAAAGTGATAATCAGTCTCTTTATTTGGTTCAAAGAAATAGTTCTGCCCTTTTGTTGGCAGATGCGCCTGACTGGATGTCTTCCTTCTGGTCGTTAGCTGAAAATTAAGAATGGCTAAAACCTGAACTCCAGGTTTTTCGGACCTGGCTGTTTAGGTTACAAGTACAAGTTGAAAATTCCAATTCTGTGTTTTTTATGGAAACTAAATGTAAATATCTTGCCACTTTATGCAGAATATTTATATGTATCTGAATTTAAAAAAACAATACCCTGTATTTCCTGGGTTTAAACTGGACCTTTAAGTTTTGTAGCAACTTGGGTCGTCCAGTTTCAAAACTTGAGAACAAACTTCAATATCCGACAGCCAAATGTAACAAAAAAAGACTAGCACAAGTTTTTTAAAGTTTTTTCTTCTTACAGTTATGTTATTAGACATACACAAAAACTAATACTTTTTTTCATTAATCTGCATTGACTAATACATGTGGGATTGCACCAAGGAATTCAGTTTTTGCCTTTTATTTTTTGCCCAATAACCAAGTCAGTTACCTGTGCTAGCTGTCTCTAATTTAGCAGCGATAGACTACAGGGAAGGCAGCTAATCAACAACAACCACCGCCAACTCTTGGGTTACTCATTTACTAAGAAATAGTGGGATTGACTTTCACATTATAATGCTCCCACAGCTGAAGGGGCAAGCATGTTTGGTGACAGGGATTTGAACTCGCGACCTTTAAGTTGTGAATCAAGCACCTTAACCACCAAACCATGCCAGGCCTTCTGTAGATACTTAGTATTTATACATTTCTTCAAATTGTGCCATCTCCTAGCTCAGCAGTAAGTCGGAGGGCTTATAATGCAAAAAATTTAGTTTTAATACATGTGGTGGGCAGAGCAAAGATAGCCCATTGTGTAGCTTTTCATTATTATAAAAGCTAACTTTCACAACTTCTCATTTTCCTCTATTAAATTTTTAATGACTGTGGTTAAGTTCTTTTTTGAAGTATCGAGTATACACTGTCATGTATATGTTTAAGTTTTTTTATGATCATTATTTTGAGGCTTGCACCTTTCTGCTATTAAATGTTTACATCATTTTCTTCACAGGCTCTGATGGGAGAAAATGTTAAAGAAGAAGCTGGAGGAGTTATAACCGCATCACCTATCATCACCAGAGAAACAACTAAACAGTTCTATAGGTCTGAATATAAAGAACCTCCACCGCCGCCACCACCACCACCAGCATTTGCTACACCCATTTCATCAGAACCTGCTACAGCTGTGGAATCACCCTCTGTTACAACTACTTCCTTAAGCAAAAAGACTATAGAAACAATGGCAGTAAGATGTCTTTCTGGCTCATTTCCTTCATGAAACTTGTATTCTAGTGATACATTATGAAGTGCATTCTAGAAAATTACGAAGTTTACAGAATAGCTAAAATTCGGATGAAATAGCAAAAAGTAACACAAGGCCACATCGTTTCACTAATATTGTACCTGGCATTGTTAGCAGGCTACCTGATAAGTTTTTGTACGATCGTGAAATGGTTTTATATTTGTTTCAAAAATTAGCATGGCTATAATGGGTAAACTTTTCATACATGCAATGTATTCAGGGTTTCCTGGTAACTTTTATGTATAAAACGGTATATTGATGTCTTATGATTTGAAAACATCATCATTAATCAAAAGAATGTTACAAGTTATATTAGGGTTGAGATGTTGTTGTACACAAATAGATTTTAAATTTGATTCGATAATGAATATGTGGAGCGGTTTATGACTATAAGTATGCCTGTTTTGAATATTATAACAGCTATTGTCATTGATTAATTCCATTTCTCTTGTAAACAAGACTTTAACGATAAATGTTACAAGATAAGCAAACATATCTTTTCCTAATAAACACTTTTATTGCTTACTCTGATTTATACTGAAGGAGTTAATGTCACAGCACAAATTTAAGATAAACTATGATACACTCATGGTTATTGTTGCTATCCATGAGAAAAATGCATCTGGTTATTTTCAAATGGTAGACTTGTGTTAAATATCAATATTACTTATCTTTTAATATTTATTTCTTTCATAAATACATTACGATAGAATGCAAGATTTTTTTATTTTTGATAGTATAAGATGGAAGAGGATGGTAGAGTAGAATCATTCAAAGATGAGAAGATAACCATAGAGAATGAGGGAGACCCCATTGATTATGATCGTGCTCTAGCTGAAGCCATTCAACAAGCTACCATGATGAACCCTGACATGACAGTGGAGAAGATCGAGATTCAGCATCAGTAGTTGGTCATCATTGCCGGTGAATAACTGCTGCTTTTATAGTTTACTGTTACACAAAACTATTTATTTTTATAGCTTGAACTAATCCACATTTTGTACACAGCTGGAGAACAGTAATGCTGCCTATATTATCTTCCTTAAAGAAGGTTTATATACAAAAACACTGTTTTATGTTTTATCAGAAAAGGTTTAAATACTGTTTTATTTGAATGGCTTAACTTCAAAAATATCGTGTATAATCAGATGACTGGACAACAACAAAAATTAGAAATGATAATATTATTTGTGACACTTGCACCCCTTTGTAGATATTATTGAAAATGTGATAATTCTCTTTTTTTTTTTACAGCAGTGATACTAATTTTACTTTTTTAAACTAATATTTAGTTGTTTTTTTTAGTTTTCTGGTCTTAAACATACAGCCTCATGGAACCTTTCTGTTGTTAGGTTATTAACTGCTAAGTATGTTCAAACCTTTCTGTTGTTAGGTTATTAGCTGCTAAGTATGTTCAAACCTTTCTGTTGTTAGGTTATTAGCTGCTAAGTATGTTCAAACCTTTCTGTTGTTAGGTTATTAGCTGCTAAGTATGTTCAAACCTTTCTGTTGTTAGGTTATTAGCTGCTTAGTATGTTCAAACCTTTCTGTTGTTAGGTTATTAGCTGCTTAGTATGTTCAGATTTGAAGAAGGATTTTTTAATTTTTTTTGTAGATCCTGCCTTGTGCTTGTTGGTCACAATGTTTCAGGCTCTAAGCTGGAGTCCTGCCTTGTGGTTGTTGGTCACAATGTTTCAGGCTCTAAGCTGGAGTCCTGCCTTGTGGTTGTTGGTCACAATGTTTCAGGCTCTAAGCTGGAGTCCTGCCTTGTGGTTGTTGGTCACAATCTTTCAGGCTCTAAGCTGGAGTCCTGCCTTGTGGTTGTTGGTCACAATGTTTCAGGTTCTAAGCTGGAGCTCGGAACATTGTAACTAAAAAAATGCAAAGTAGAAACTGTTCAGAAATGTTGAACCACACTGTCTTTAGCCACTTTCAAAGAGTATGTTGAAACTGTGGCAAGTCGTCGCACTCTAGTGTGATAAATTATTATTATTTTAAGGCTCATAGTCACCATGTTTCATTTAAACAAATTTTGTAATAAAATACAATAGCTTGCTTTTTAAGTCTCATATACTTATAGAGCTTATATTGATAATGTACAAACCTACAAGTAACATATTGTTTTCTATACATCAATGGTAAATTAAATATGCACGAGTTCTGTTAAAAAAGAAAAACTTGTTCAACCTCGCTTGGCATGTTCGCTGCAGTTCTCCAAGTATTTAAAAAAGATGCATCAGACTTCAAAAAAAAATTCCATTTTAGAAACTTTATGAAATTACATACTTATATCCAATTAAAGTTCAACCCCAATCTTGCCAAAAAAGAAACTTGAAGCACAGCCATAGAAATTTGACTTTGATTTCATATCATGCTTGTAGCAAAGAAACTCATTTCATAATGTTATTTATAACTTTATTACTTAAACTAGTAGCCAGTCAAGCCTTAAAACATAGGATTGTGTACTTTCATTATGTATGTTGTAGATGATCATCACATTGTTACAATTGATGTTGCCATGTTTGTTCATGCTCTGTCCGATAAAATGTCTTCAACATGTTGATGTTGATATAGTGAAAACATGTTTTGAACAAGTCACAGTTAATATAATGGAAATGTGTCTTCAACAAGTCACAGTTAATATAGTGGAAACGTGTCTTCAACAAGTCACAGTTAATATAGTGGAAACGTGTCTTCAACAAGGCACAGTTAATATAGTGGAAACGTGTCTTCAACAAGGCACAGTTAATATAGTGGAAACGTGTCTTCAACAAGGC